ATCCGGCCAAGCCGCCCTGTGCCACAGAAGCCACATCAAGCCGCCTGTCTGCAGGAACAAATCTCGCCCAAATCCTTGGGGCTTGCGCGTCCCGTCATCGAGGCGTCAAAAGGGGGGATTGTTATCGGGGGTTCTGTGGGTGTTGGGTTGGATTACTATTCAAAGCGCGTCGCGATGTACCTAGGTATGTAAGCAGCGCTATCCTGTCAGCCTCAGATGACTGGCTTTCTTCAGTCAGTGAACGCCACACTTGACGTGCAACACCGAGTACGAAGGACTGGACGTGCGATCGATCCGTACCGCAATACGATGCAAACGCCGGACGCCTGACGGCCCATGGAGTAGGGTTCGGTCGAGACTTCTGGTGCCTGAGTCGTGGGCACTATTTTCATTTTGGGGTCCCCACCTGCATTGGTCTGGCTTCTTCTGCATCCTTCATGGCTGCATCTTCACCTCAGTGTGTTGTTTTAGAGGCCCCTGGGCGTCTCGAACAGCTTGAGTGCCGCGGCTTCCATATCCGTTGACTTGAAGACGCGCGGCAGGTGAGCAAGGGGTCGTCGTCTGGAATCTCTCTTCCCTCTGCCTCCGTCCTTCTGGTGTTGAGATATACCATATTCACCTCGTCTTTCGAGGCTGTTGAGGGGGATGCAATGAGATGGAGGTAAGAGGGCAGTACGCGTTGTAGAAACGTGGCGGAAAGTCAATGGCGGCTTCCGCTTCGACACAAACGGCAAGTGCAGTTCCCGACGTCCTTGCCTCGACGTTTGCTGTATCGAACAACTCAGCCCTATCCTTTTCTACAACCATCCTCAACTTAACCCAAGGTTTTTAATGTCTTCCACTCCTTTTCAAGTGCCCACACCTCTCTTCATCCCCTTCACCATCCCATCTTCGCATATTGGCCTTTGCTTCGTTCCTACATGACCCTCACTCGGCATGCTCTCATGTTCATTTCTATTTTCTACCGTAGGGTGCGTAGTCGTTGAATCCAGGCGTCTCAGGGTCGACATGTCACTGCACCTCCATGAGTGTGGTGTAAAATGCCCTTGTGGAGACGACCTCGGTGTCACTCCACACTGTCTCGAACACCAACTCAGCATGCACTGTCTACCAACACTCCTACTCACTCCGATTTCACGATGGCGGGGCATTGTAGTCCGCCCAATCTTTCTTTGCCAGTAGGACTGTCACAAGGTGGCAATCCCGCCACAGTGAATGCTCGCGTGCAATAACGTCAATTGCGAATCACAAGACCCGTTCCCCAGCCTTCTTAACCCTCTCCTCCTCCATTTTTCCTGCCTGCCTGACGTGAATGGTCCTTCTCGCCGCGGTGACTGGCGTTTCGCAGATGTATTCACCAATCATTTCGTCATAACTCCCCCATTCACTAGTATTCACTTCCGTCAACGACGCCAAGAACCCTACATCGGTTAAGCGCGATTTCATTAGCGTATACCGACCTGGCTGCCTTCCAATACTCTAACCAAAGTTTCTCTCCTCGGTATCAACTCTCTTCAGTACGAACTGCCTCTGCTGTACATTGACTTCACATTTTGATCGACATCTCCACGATCTAGACAGCGTAGCAGTCACCCAATCGTCTAACAGCTTTTTCCCAATCACTTCCACCTACACTTCACTCAGCTCATCTACCCCCACCAACTTCGCCGCCATGGCTTCCATCCGCGAGACCATCCGGAACGGCGCAAGCTACCTGGTAGGCGTCATTAGAGAAAAGGCGCAGATCCAGTACGAAGAGGTATACCTGAAGCTCGAAACCCATGCTCGCGTATTCAAGGTTTGTATATCCCATCGGATGGCGTCCAGACTACGACTAACCATGGACATAGCTTCCTTTCCTAAGGGCAACCCCCTATATCGTTGCAGAAGGACTCAACAACGTCCGCGACGGCTCCACGCGTACAAAACTCCTGCCGCGGGTCAAGGTCAGAAAACCTGCTGTTAAGACTAAACACAACCCGACTGACACCCCGAAGAAGCAGCAGACCTACCACACCGTCGCCACAGGTCGCATTGCGAAGCCCAAGCGAGAACCCCATCCCCGTGAACTAGATCCTAAATGGTACGACATGGCCATGAAGCAGAAGTCCGCAGAAGAGTACCGCGAGCGCGAAATGCGTCTCCGAGAGAACGAGCGAAGGGAGTTGGCGGAGCGCAAGCGACGTCAACAACAAAAGCGTCATGTTCCGTACAAGCGGACCTCAATGGAACGCACAACCGGTATCAAGGACAAGCGTCCCCGGTGGACGTCGCAGCCAGCACTCCCGCCGCCAAAAGCTTTCAGCAACTTACAACATCCCGCCGAGTTCTACGAGAACCAGACCTCCGAGGAGCGTAGGGCGTATGTGCGTGAGAAGCTGACCAACGTTCTCGGTGAGGAAAAGATGAAAGAGCCCATCCTTCCTTCCGGTCACAACCCCATGGAGCCTGTGATCGCCGAGCACAACCAGCGCATGGCCACGATCAGCCTTCTCAGCCAGTTCGAGGCTCACAAGGTGGACGTACAGCGCCAGCACGACGAGCAGATTCGCCTGGCTCGCGAAGAAGAGGTCACTCGACTCAAAACACAGATTCTCCTTGGTCACTACAAGGACGTCTACAAGGGCCGCATCAACGTGCTAGCATGGCATACCGGCCACATGCTCGAAGGCATCGACCGACTGGAACATCTGCTCCAAACCGGAGAACAGTGGGAGGTGGCCAGGGTCGTGCAAGTCCTAATTCACCAAGTCTTTGAACCCGTCAAGCGTGTGCTTGAAGAGTTTGACGCTGATATCCCCCTGGATCCGGATGGCGCCCAGAAGCTCAAGGAAGCCTGGCCCATGGCTCGTCTACAGGCGCTCTATGACTTCCTTCTGGGCAGGTCCAACAATCTGGATCTACAGACTATGCGCATGGCTCAGTGTATTGAGGAGATCCTTCGACGTCTTAACAACCCGACGATATTCGTTGATCCTCTTGCGCCCAAGCCGCAGCCGTTCGGCGACCTCTATCAGAGCTCCAGCTCTACAAACGCCAACACAATGGCAAACACTACATCTCAGACCGCCTCTTCCCTCCCTGGCGCAGTCCCACCCCCCGCAGGAGGATGGTCCTTCCGTGGCCGCGCCTCCACCTCCGGCCTCGACCCCGACGCCCCCCAATCCTCCATTCCCAACAACACCACCACCACCACCTCCGCACCACCCGGAAGCGGCCTATCCAAGCTCTACGCCGCAACCGCCTCAAACGCCGCCTCCAAAGCCACCAACCCCCAAATCCCATCCATCACCATCGAGCCCGGCGACAGCGCCGCCCGCACCTCGGTCCTCCAGTACATCAGCACCGACAACATGGTCCTCCAAGCCGAAATGGACGACATGTTCCGGCACGCCGAGCCCAAGAACAGTCACCGCCGCGCTGTCACCGAGTGCATCAAGGGCCTTGTTGATGCTGCGGGTGGTGAGGATAAGGTGCTGGGGACGATGGATGCGTCGTATTATCGCGCGCAGATTGAGGAGTGTGTGAGGAAGATTGATGGGCTGGCGAAGAGGTATAAGGAGGTTAAGGAGACGAAGGCGCTTAGGAAGCTTTGTGGGCTGGCGTTGAAGGTTTGGGTGGTGCATGGGTGAATGGGGATTTGAAGAGAGGCCATTGAGGCTCAAGACCGTAAGATGGAGACCACCCGCTCAACCGTCAAGGAGCACAAGGATCTCATCAGGTTTGGATGGTGGGAGCGAGAGATGAAGAAAATAGTCTCTTCGCTGGACGCCTTTCCTGAGCTTGACTCTGATCTCTATTGCTATCATGAGACACCCGGAACGATGGCGAGAAGGGCCAGAAGTGCTCTTCCTCACGAATCCATGACTTCACGACACTATGGCTTACGGAGCCACGACTACCACATCTTCTTTTCTCTCACGCGGGTATCGGAGATATCCAGTCATGCATTTTCAGCGCGCAAGCGAGTTTTGCCTTTCTTGTCTTTTTGATGGTTCTTTTTCTCGATCACATTGTTTTCAATCCTTCGAGACCTACCGCGGTCCAGAGGTTGACAATTCATACGTCAACTACGGCTACGAGCGACGCAGAGGACGACGCCACTGTCAGTTGTGAGGTTGCAAAGCCATGAGGACATCTCAGCTCGCTGCCATTCCAGATTCCATAGCAATAATAGTCAATATCACTCAAGTTCAGATGATTCCTCAATCGCGAGCTGGTATCGAAGGTAGTCTGGGTACCGAGATATTTGACTGGAAGAAAGTGAACTTTGACCAATGCTGATTGGTTTTGTGAGCATGGAGGTAGACATGCGCAATAGAAACAGGCCTCAGGATGGTGCGATCACATGTCAGAAGCTGGGCGCGTCCCTACCGGACCTTTCACTTCGAAATGGCATTCTGCGAAACTTCCAATTGAGCAAGATTACTTCGTGTAGCTTGCAACTCATTGCTTCGATACAAATCTCTTTGACGACGTCTGTGATGGATGGAGGAATGAAAGTCATGCGGTTGGCTGCACCGAGACGGAAGCTGGAGACGCGCTAAAGGCCCGGATCCCGGTCGCGTTCCGAAGTAGCTTGAGGGAGCGCCATCCTTCTTCCAACAACTCCATCGCGCCATGAACAGCCACCCTTCGCCTATGGAGCACATGGACGTCGAGAGGAGGTCGTCGTCGCCCAAGCGCAAAAAGGTCCGCCAAAAGTACGCGCCCAAAGCATGTAAGTCGCGACACTCGCTCTAGTTTGGCTTCTTTGGAGCTTCCTATGCGGCATTCCGATGGTTCCGTAGTGGTTCGACGCAGCTCGCGCGACAGGACGACGAGGTTATGCCATCAGCCGGCTGACAGATTGTGCAGGTGTATCATGCAGGCGATCCAAGCTCAAGGTATGTACGCTCTTTTGTACATTGGCTGTCTCGGCCACTTCCCTCGCGACTGCATCGCGACTTCCTCATGCGACAGCGTCGCTTCCGCATCTACGAACTATCCCAGCAACAACCATGAGAGTCAACAACTGACGTCAACAGTGTTCCGGCGAAAACCCATGCCAACGGTGCATGGACAACGGCAAGCGATGCTTCTTCTCTGAAGACCAGACGGCCGCCGAAGCCCTGCAGAACCTCAGTCGACCCACGCCCGCCCTCCACACACAAGCCTCGACCACCAGCGGCAACGGCAACGGCCATAACATACCACGAAGGAGCTTAATGCCGTCGGAGAACGGTACCGAGCGGAGGGCGAGCGATGCCAGCACACGCGGCATGACCATGGAAGCGCGCATGGCCCGAATTGAGGCCATGATGGAAGCCCTCATGCGCGACCGAGGCCTGACCATGACGCCAATGGGCAGTGTCGAGCGCGAAGAGAATGGCAGTGATGCCTTTAGGGGTGAAGTCGCGTTATCTGTCCCGCCGCTGGATCCCATCAACCCAGCTCTCGCCTTCATGGGGCAGCCTTCGCTCTTTTCAGAGAATTCCCTAGAGCCAGCCAACCCCGTCGACCCAGGCGCTGGCTCCCCCATCAACGGCGAGCCATCGCATCTCGTACAAGTCGGCAACAGGAAGCTACCCTTTCCTAGTCCCGCCGATTACCAACAGTACCTAGCCTCCTTCTTCACCGACATTCACCTGTCTCATCCGTGCATAGATGAACCCGAGTTCCGCAACCGCAGCCAACACATGCTAGCAAGCACCACCATACCATCAGAAGATAGCGAGTTTCTCGCGCTGAACTACACCATCTTCGCATGCTGCGACGTACTCCTCAATGTCGCACCCATCGACACTGGCAAGCCTAAGGGCTGGCGCTGGCTTGAAATGGCTGACGAGCTCGTCGACAAGAGGTCGCTACTAAGCGGTTGCGGCGATTTGACGCTGCTACAGTGTGTCTTTTTCCAAGTACGTGTCCAAAGGCTCCAAAATAGATGCGCATAGACTAATAGTTGTAGGCTATCTACTACCAATACGCAGACATGCCCGGCCCAGCTTACAACACCATCGGCGCCGCTGCAACACTCGCTTTCCAGTCCTCCTTACATCAGCAATCCACGTGGACAAACATCACGACGGTTCAAGCATATGAGCGCATCTGCACCTTCTGGAATATATTCGTCCAAGACCGATTTATCTCATTGACGTGTGGAAGACCATACAGGATCCACGAAACCGACATTCAAGTCGAAGCACCTGTAGACCTCTCACAAAGGGTAAGTAAAGTACACGACTCCTATCCTTCCTCCCGCTGAACAGGTCTGGAGACTACATCAAGATGAACATGCAAAGTGGGTGTCTTGACGTCGATGTCGCCTCCAGGGTGTTCAGTTTCTTCCTAGATCAACGTGTCCTCCTCCTCCTGCTACCTCACGCTCACGTTCTATAGGCAAACCTCTACAAAGCCGAGGATAATGATGACCCCAGGCCTTTCATCGATCACTACATCCACTATGTCATACTCTGGGCGCGTTATGCCAGCAATGCTGTCGACGGTCGCAGTCTGGATAGCACAACCCAGGATATCATTGATCGGCAGATCTCCCACTACCTCGATCACGACTTACCATTACTGGGGATGCCATCATACGCCCTGCGGGATGATGAGGGAGATGTACCACTGACGATGTTCATCAAACAGAAGAAGACAGACTTCGTTCTTTGGGGGCTACGTTCCGTCATAATCTCCCTGCAATACGACGACAATCACGCTGAACACCTCAGCCAACTTGCCGGCTTCAGCCTCACCAATTCGACATTCTTTACACGGGAAGTTCGTCAGCCATTCAGCCTCCGGCATCGCATGATAACGTCCTTGTCGAATGCACTTCTGGTATTTTGCTCTCTTCTCGTCCGCAACTCTGCTGGAAGGGTACATCCCCACACCGAGGCCCACATCGAGGCCTTCCACCGCGCTAAGGGCATGCTACATGACTTGGCCGTTATTCAGCCATATGCGAAACGCGTCTTGTCTGAATTTGAGGGCATTGTGCGTGTGGTGGAGGATTGCCTGGATGGGAAAGATGCTCCAAAGAATGTCGCGGAGCTGTTTCCTTACCAGTCTTCGAGCGCTGAAATCCGTGGCGTATTGTGGCTGTAGTGCACAAGAATTAAGGGGGGGAAGTGGCGTTCTTATGGTTTCGAATGTATTTTACTCTGTGTACCAACGGCCTGCATAGATACCCATTGCCCTTGTACGGGCTAGGAGACGGCGTTTAGGGTTAATTTACTTTCTTCATCTTGCCTGTCGCTCATATCTCATTGACATTAGCTGCATACATCATCTTTATCGATTGGTGACCGGAAAGCAAAGATTACAGTCGCTGCATATGAGGGTAATATGCTCTGACAACACGCCCGTCAAAAGACAACGAGCAGCTCTTAGGTGTACTGTAGAAGAGACATCTGAGGAATATCAAGGCGCGATAGTCTCCCAAGAACATAAAAGCCATGGCGTGCAGTGTTCATCTTCTGCTCCCACGTGCAAATTGATGAGCTTCTTCAACGCGTTGACGACTAGGACTAGGGGCATCCTGTATTGAAGTCGAGAGAAGAAGCACTGGATCGGTGGCGCAGGAAGGAATTTGAGCGGCTGCTCAAAGGGATGACGACTGGGGATGTCTGTGAGAAGTTTCTTTGGGAAAGATACATGCAAGGCTCATGAATGTTACAAGCAGAGATGCTAGCTTGTTGTGGAACGTTTTCAGTGCGCCTACCCGGTCTATCACGTGCCAGTGCTGTTGCCTGGAGAGATCGAAACAATAACAAACGAGAGCTAGTGTCACGCTTTCCATTTTCTCAGTCGTACTGAGACTCTCCCACTTACGTACATTGCGACACCTTTGGAACCTTTGCGGTGCAGCCCGTCAAGCTTAACCATGGATAGGGATTTCGTCCACCGGTAAGTGAACATAATCGCGCCTGCCAGGCATCCTACTGACTGATTGAATAGCTCTTTGCGAAAAGTGGCACTGACGCGCCACGTTTCCACTCTACTCAAACGCCGCAATAGCCCCAACGAAGATACCCGCACCAGACAACTGGAATCATGGCGAATCGGTAAAGCAGCACAGAAGCTCGACGACGAACTCAACAAGTACATAGCAACCCACGCAAAGCCAGAATGCATGACACTGTCCGAGATGATGCAGAGCAAACTACCACGGGAACTACGAGATATGGTGTACGCTTATCTACTCCCGCGGGAGACTTACAGCCTGTGGCATTTCGCCCACGATCGTCAGTGGCTTCAGTTCCTCCGAAAGTCCAGTTGCGATCATGTCTTCATGGGAGGATACCTTTTATCCGACACCATGAAGGAAATCGGCGAATTGTGGTACGAGCGATCTACCTTCGTCGTTCTCGGCTTTCTCTTAGGGCGTGGTAGTGACCCCAAGCTTGCTTCCGAAGCCTTGGACTTCCTCGAAGACGACGGTTGGGGCCTGGACATCAATGTGTACCAGCACGTCAAGCATATCTATATCCGCCTCGACTACACGGGGAACGTGCATGATAAAGTTGACCAACTCAAGGCTAACCTCCGGAAACTGACGTCACTGGGAGCAAATGTGCGGGTGGTTCTACAACTCCAATGTACATACTCGCCCACCAAGACGCTGGGAAGGCAGCAAGTAGTAGAGCTTGTGAAGAAGCTTCGCATCGTGTTTCCTGTCCTGGAGGAGCTCGTGAAAGGAGGAAAGAGAGTTATGGTCAACGTGAAAGGCTATAATGTGTTCGACGTCAAGGTTGAAAAGCTGAACGCTCAGAGTTGGATCAGTCAGTTGACCAAAGTGCTCTCAGACAAAGATTTGCCTGTTCTACAGTTATAAGCTGAACAGAAGAGATCGCGTCACATATGAGCGGAGGTCTACCAGTCTACATTGGTACCAAGCTCGCTAGGGTTATTGCATTGTACTATATACGAGCACACAAAAGTATTGCAGTAGCTGTCTTGCAAATACAAAACAATCCAATTCACAGCATCCAATACCACTGTCCTCATCACATGTATACTATCCCGACGATGTGAAGTACACATCCAGGCCCCGTCATTCTACAACTTCGCCTCCCTTTTCAGGATCGGATCAACCCACTTCTTCCACCCCTGCTGTACCCCAGCATTCTGCCACGCCTTCTGATTGATAGGCAACTGCTCAACCCACCGCATAATGTTCTCGTATACATTGCCGTCGTACATACCCAGCGCACTGCAGAGACTAGCATCGGAGAAGTCCCACGCATCCGTCAGGGCTACTGCTTCGGGCAGTAGCTGATCGAGCAAGCCGTTGACAAGATGCCGGATAGTGTCGAGCTGTCCCGAAGTGAAGTAAGGAGAACGATCGTCAGCTGTCTCGATGAAAGATACTGCGTCGACGGCACGTGGGTTTATGATCGTTGATAGGGCGTAGAGGGAGCGCATACGGTTTAAGACGATGCGGAGGTAGTTGCACGTAGAGTCAGACAGGCTTGAGATGAAGTCGGTGAATGACTTCAGGATGAAGTACTCGATGTGGGCCCGCGATGCGGAGATGAGCAGCATCATGTGCTCGTTCCACGCATCTGCTGGCAACTTGCTTGATGCGCGGATTGCCGAATGCGCCTTTACCACCATACGATGTGCACGGTCGCGATAGATAGCGAGTTGTACTTTGGGGTCGAGAAACTGCGTTGCGGATGCGCAGCATGGAAGGTTGGGGTCTTCGACATCGGTCAGGTATTGTACGTGGGGCTCGATTGGCTCGCCATCTTGTAGGCGGTCGAGTTGCTTGAGGAGATGTCGCCCGAGTTGCTGCCACAGAACGTAGTTCTCTCCCTCGAACGTCGCGCCGCCGACCAAGGCACCGACGATGTCTGGCAGGCCTGAGATAGACATGTAGCCATGACCGCCACACAGCTTACGTGCGTCTTCAGCGCCATCAGCGGCCTCAGAAGTGACATACGCCTTCATCCCAGCAGTCAATGCGTGAACAGCCGGCAGAAGAGAATGATCGTTCTTGCTCTGCATCTCCCGTAGTTTGTTGTACTGTTCGTCGCAGACGCGAGATCCGAAGAACATGGCGTACGTCTTGGCAATCAAGCTCAGAAGACGGAAGTGCTGATGCTTGTAGTGCAAGATGCTTCCTTCGGTGGCGAAGGCGTCAGCAGGGCCGAGGCCTTGTTGTCGTACAACAGAGTATCGTGTCGCAATCGTCAAAGCTTGGGCTAGCTGAACGGTAAAGACACTGGGCATCCTGCCGCGGACGAGCAGCATGACAGAGTACGAGAGCTTAGCGCGGAGGGGGTCTTTGGTGAATGTGCCATCGGATGTGAGCTGGCTATGTGCCATGAGCATCTGCGATCGAGAGATGCGAACGTTGTCGAAGGAGGCGAAGCCATTGTCTGCTTCGTTATAGCTGGGTCTTGGTGAGTGACTGAACTCACGACGTCTTCTGCGATCTCCTGACTTACCCAAGCTTCAAGCCAACGTCGCCCATCTTCACACCTGGCATTGGGGTGCCGTCTTCGATTGATCGGAGTTGTACGAGAAATATATGTGGGCCATGGTCCTGGTCACCAACAATGAGTCTCGCCATGACTGTGCCATGTGTGGTCGAGAAGCCTAGCCCCGCAGGCCAGAACTTTGTCGATGAGATTGTTGGAGAGTGAACGACGAATTCATCGCGATCGGGATCGAAGGTGGCCGTCGTTTCGATACCTCGCACGAATGAACCATGACCAAGTTCGGTTTGTGCGTATGTACCAAGTATCTTTCCGGATCGCGCAAGCGGAAGCCACTTTGCCTTTTGTTCCTCAGTACCGTTGTGCTCCATGCCGGGCTCGAAGAGGATAGCTTTGTGGCCGAAGGGGCCGTTGGAAGTCAGTTTGTCAGTTGTAGAAGATTCTCCTGACTACCTCAACATACCTGGCGTTCATGAGGTTGTATCGCGGCGTGATCCACACAAAGTGCTCATGGTCGTGCTTGAGCATGTCATCGAGACACGCCTTTCCCATCTCAAGACCCTGTTCGAATAGATCCTCGCGTGAGGTCTCTGAGTAGCATCGAGGGAGCTTTGCATTGTCGTCAGTGCCGATTGCTTTCTCAACTCTATTAAAGGCGGCGCGTCGCTCCTTGACAACGTTCTCACTGCAGATGGATTAGCACCGATGTTACATAGGCTCACAGATTGTACTTACCTTCCCCAGAGTATGCACGTCAGCTGAAACGTGTCGAAAGAGGCGGAGTCTCTTGCTTTCTGCAACAGCGCGCTCTGGGCATTTGCTACCATATTGACCATTGTTACTCCAAAGGTATAAACAACAAAACGTGAAGATGAGAGGCGAAGACTAGGGTTGAGGGTGACCGACGAATATGACCATTTAGACGTGTTGAGCAAGCCGAGATGTAGCAGACTATTGCCGGGTGAACTGGGCTTCCCCCATCGATGATGGTGTGCCTCTCATAGTCTCTCTGGGCAGCCACGCAACCCGCGCTTGCCATCCTCCAAGCCATATGTCGCCGTATTCTTACCCAGTATGAACCATATCTGCATTTATGCGGCGTAGGAGTCCAGATCAAAAATTGCGATTGGCCAGATCGTCAAGATGTCCTCACGGAGATATGCATACATGGTCCTTCCGTTCGCCATATGCGAGTTGAGAATCTCCATCTAGAGTTTAGCTGATACGGCTCCTTCACTGTATTGGGCGATCCCTTGATCTCGTGTTTCATAGCTCTTACTCGTACAGGTGGGACTGAACACATTCCAGCAGTACGAGCCCATAGCCCTGGCTATGGTGTTCGTTCGACATCCGTCTAAATGTATTTGATGCTACTCCATATCGCGCGCTTTCCTAGAGGTTGCATGTGGGCCAGTCAATGATATCGAACTCTGGAACCGAAGGACGCGGGCCGTGTTTGCTTTGCAAGGGCGGCCCTTGATGGCGCCGCCACGTGGGGAAAGTCCTCATCTTCCGATGGCATATCGAATTGCGTTCGTTCGATGTTTGATCCTTCCTCGGAAGGGGCGTGAACTGCGATGCTATTCGATGAGATTTCTTCGATCAGATAGAAAGGACGTGGAGCGCGTGAGAAGGAGCAATAGATAGTCTGCTCCTCTGGCATGCAGGTGCTTGGCTTTGACCTAATTCGTGATGCGCATTGGTACAGACGGGTCTGAAGCCTATCCTTGGTTGGAATGAGGCGGCGTAATGCCTACAGCTGAGGTAGCAGCAATTCTATAGGGGGTGCACTCCATTGCGCTACTAGCACCGCGCCCGCCATTGCGAAAGCTGAGTAATGTCTTGGTGATCTACGCCGGAATTTCGAGTGATGTTGTTGCGGCTTCTTTGCTGATTAGCCATGTCGAATGCAGGCGTGCGGAGACTGACGGATGTTTAGATGCTGAGATCGTGGTGTTCTGCGGTGAGATGACGGCGGGCAGAAGCAGGCCAGGCCAGTTCGGGTTAGCACGCCATGCAACTTGCCGAGGCGACACGTGCAGAACCTGTGAAGCAACTGCCGCGCATTTCCATGCGTGCATGCCAACTCTGGCCATCCCTTGCTCTGCAACAACGATAGTCATCGCGCTGCTTTCCGGTTTTGTCTGCAGTATGCCTGACCCCTGGGATCAGGATGAAAATTCGCGCTGGCCCTCCCGAAAATCGTCGGCGACACAAGCGAGCCTCGTTGAACTTCTCGTATGCGGCCTGCATGTAATCAGCTCTACATCACCGACTAGAACTGGTCTGGTTCACAAGTACTACGCCAAGCATGTCTGTAAGCAATGACTACTAATAAGAAGCATTCTCAAGACTTTAGCATCCTTACTCATCAATCGTATGCGGGTCGCACCGTTTCCATCTTTTCTCCGGCATTTACCCTGCCCATGCTCGGATTTCGGACTTAATGATTATTGGTTCTAGGCGCGTTGTACCATTCCAGGATGTGTGGCAGCTCTTCAACGTTCATCATGATGACGCAGTGGTGTATCTTTTCCTAACGCTTTTGCGGAGCTTGCGGCATTTTCATTCGTGGATACAGGTAGACCACGTGCTGGCACGACGATGTACAGGGGTTGCCTGCAGTACACGTTATGGCAGATCAGTATAGCCCATGATTAAGTATCAGTCACCTTGAGGTCATGACATAACGCACATGGGCTGGCGCGTCCACTCCACAATGCGACAGTCGCGCGCATTTGTAAGGGGATGCATCCCGAGCCTCATGCTAGATCAGACTTCTCCAACTCCACACTCCAACCATGGCGCCTGCTGAACCCAACGCAAAGCCTTTCGAGCTCTTGACAGCCGAAGAGCCGAATTTCCCAGAAGAGCGAGAAGGATGGAAAGGATACATCGAGTGGGAGCGATACCCAGAAAAGAAGAAGCAGGCGGCGGAAATCCTGGCGAAATATGACTTCCCCGTACCTCCCGAATTCCAGCTGAAACCGCTCCCCGATACCAACCCGGTGCTTGAGGGTGTACGATGGAAACACTACCACTACGCGATGGGCAAGACGCTAAAGGATATGCCGGCCGACTCTTGGGAACACGTCAAGAAAGAGAAGAGCGAGGACATGGTCCATGTACTGCAATTCCCATACAACGGAGAGCCGGAGCGGAAGCGCCTGGTCGAAACGGAGATCACCAACAACAAAGACCACTTTGTGAGAAATCACGGTGGCATACCTGAGATCGACCCGGAGAAGTACTTCTTCGAAGTCGAGGGTCTCGTCGACAAGCCGAAGAAGATCACGTTGAAGGAGCTACAGGATGAGAGCATCTTCCCGCGTATGGAGACCTGTGTCACCCTGCAGTGCAGTGGTACGCGCCGTATTGAGCAGATCCACGA